ACACACACACAAGTTAAGCAGTGCCCTCTTTACCTTCTTACCTGCCGTTTTCCCTTTTTTTTTGGGTTTATGTTTTTCCTGTCTCTTATACACATCTAGATGTGTATAAGAGACAGGTTAAGCAGTGCCCTCTTTACCTTCTTACCTGCCGTTTTCCCTTTTTTTTTGGGTTTATGTTTTTCCCTAGTGGGCGTTCTTTACCCCACCACCACCAAAAAACACATTTTTATATCACAATAATTCAAATGAGGCCCTGGGGACCTCACAAACAACGCGAGGGGAAGGTCCCACTAGCAAGGAGGATTGGATTCAAAGCCTGAATCTGGACGTGTTTGTGGAGAGGTGCAGAAAATCGGGATTGATCTGCTTTTCTGCATCTCTGCATGAAACACATCTCCAGATTCAGACCCTAAATCATATCCTCTTTGCAAGAGTGGGACCTCGGCCCCCCCGGAGTACTGGGAACATTATTTTTGTTACCCAGCTTAGCTTAGCTAGCAGGGATCAAAAACATAAACATATCAACCCTCAGAAGAACTGCCCCCTCTCTCTCTCTCTCTCTCTCTCTCTCTGTCTCTCTCTCTCTCTCTCCCTGTCTCTCTCTCTCTCTCTCCCTGTCTCTCTCTCTCTCTCTCAAATTCTTTCATCTTGTACTACCTACCTACCACTACTCCTAAGGCTATACAGGCAACCCCTGCAAGCATTTCCACCTTTTTTTTATTTTTCATTTTTTTTATTTTTTATTTTTTTTATTTTTTAACTACACTGTATTCTTTCTCTGAAATTCTTTTTTGGCCTTTTTCACTGGCTGTTTTCCACTTATACGTTGGTTTATCTTTGAAACTACCAACGGAATTTTTTTGAAATGCAATCGCTCACCAACGAGCCTAGCTCAGTTGGTACACCCGTAAACTGTTGAAATACCGACCCAAGTTCGAATGGAACAAAGATGAATGAAAATTAACTGAGGCTGGTCAGTTCGAGGATAATACCTCATGGCCATCACCCTTCTTTTTTTTTTTTTTTTAAAGGAAAAAAAGATGGAGCCTTGGGGTGGCCTGGGCTTGCGCAGCTGCGGCACGAGCATCCGACGGCTGATAAGACATCCCGGAGGGCGATTTTGGGACATTTGGAAAGCCGGAAGGTGTGGACCCACAGACGTCTGTTCACGAACATCCGGCCCCACCTGTGCCACGGAACGCTCTGGTACCGTAGCTTACAGGGTTTTTTTTTTTTTTTTTTTTTTTTTTTCCCTCTTTTTTTTTTTTCTGTGTTCCAATGGACCACGGATCAGGCGTCTGGTCCCACCTACCGTTGTTTGAGTTCAGAAAACTCAACGGTGTGACGCCGTTTCGACATTAAAATATTCGAAACAAGAAATAAAAAAACTGAAAAAAATGCTAGAAACAGCTTTTCTCCTTATTTTTTATAACGTAACTCCGAGAAATGAAACATGTCTGGAACAGTAGGAGTGAACGTCTCCGTGAAAAAAGGATACTCCCCGTGGTGAGGGGACAGGAGGTCACCATTTGTAAAATGGACAGGGACGACGTGGATGG